GGAAGGAAAGAAGGTAACAGAACAGTTAAGAGCTTTGGTTATTTTACTAACAGACATAAGATTGAATGGAAACTTAGGTACATATAAAACAAATGATAAGGGGACARAAGCCAWGTCAACATTACCAACACCACAGATGGGAGATGAGGACCCATTGGCAAGTGTAACAGTTTGTGATGTGGAGGTTTCAGAAAGAGAAGAGAACACACCTGGAGTYCCGGTCATATGATCTGAGGCTCCAGAGTCAATAATCCAGGAAGGAGTTATAGATGACATGCAAGCAATACCTGATTGGGCATATGTGGCAGTGGTATGCTGTGAAGTAGCTTGAAGGAACCATTCATACTCATCACGCGGAACACTCACCATCTCCCTCCCAGAAGTAGATGTAGATGTAGATGTGGGAGGTGTTCGGTCTGCCAGTTTACTGTCACTAATAGCAACCTCGCCTGCTACAGCATGATTAGCCCATTTAGAGGGAGGGCCATGTATGTCATAATAGAAATTCACTGTGTGTCCTTCCCTACCACAATGAGTACACTTCCTTGTAGAGTTATTTTTTCCTCTGCCACGGCCTCCTCTGAGATGACCTCCCCCTCTTGTACTATATCCACCACCTCTAGCTATCATAAGTGCTGATCTATCAGACTGTGTGGGGTTCTCTGTCTGDCCCAAAGAAATTCTACGAAGTCTTGAGAATACTTCCTCAAGTGTAGGGAGAGTAGAGCCCCCCAATATTTGAGCTCTAACTGGTTCATATTCYGACTTCAGCCCCACTAAAAATCTCGTAACATCTAGCTGCTCCCTTTGTTGTTGCTAAACTTGAATATCTGGAGTAAGGGGATGATAGACATTGAGTTCATTCCTTATATTYTTCATGCAGGCATAGTACTCTTCTGGTGTTTTGGTTCCTTGTTGTAAATCAAAATACTCCTGATACAACCAATATACTCTTGTTGTGTTATCTTGTCCAGAATATAGCTTCTTAGCATGCTCCCATATATCCTTAGCCGTATCAAGAAACATGAAGTTGGCAYTGATTTTGGRTTCCATACWATTCCACAGCCAAGTCATGATTTGAGCATCTTCTTATTCCCAATCATCAAACCCTGGAGAGTCAACCGGTGGCTTCTCATCTCTTACATG